GTAAAGTTTCCGATACTAAACAAAAGCAGCCGGTTTCCGATGATAAGCCGAGATACCGTTTCCGGTGCTTGCTTCTTCAGGGCGCCTAGAGGTATATAAACACTGCCAATAGTTTAACTTTAGTTCTTGTTGCAATGTTGTGACATTTTTGTGTGTGTAGGTTCAACTTTTGAATAATCCTAGCATTGATGAGTTTCGGGGTTCTCGATTCATCGGAGCCGAATGTTGTTTACTTGCAAGGAGAGCAGAATGCTGATAGTGATGAGATTGGCTGTCTGGTTTGGGGAGATGCTGACTTGTCTACTCCAGAAGCTTTATGTGGACTCTTTGATTTGACATTGCCCACGACTGTGAGTGATGAAGCATGACTTTGTTATGATTATGATACTTGTTCCATGAGTTATAATTTAATTTCATTCTCGTCGAAATATATGGAAAGATGATCGAGAGGACTAGAGATATGAGATATTCTTTGTACATGCAGTGTTTCGGTTGTTCTATCATTGAAGTCAGATAAAATTGTTGAAATTTGAAATATTCTAGTTTCGAATGCTTTTGTAGGTCTATCTCGAGGTCCCAATGGTGACAAATTGGCAGAGGCACTTCACACCAAGGTAAAACTATTATTGACCATGATAATGGGCAAATGATTGTACATTCATTTTTTATGTTCGCATAAAAGTCGTTGATGTTCATTTCTCATTGCAGGGGGTACCATATGTTATATTGGAAAAGTACATTCTCTGTTACGCAGCTTGCCATTTTCGTCAGGCACTGTTATCAGTGATTCAAAGGTACAAATATTCTACTCCGCTCGTTATATAGACAAAGCATGACCCATTTTTCCTACCTTGTTGAATAATTGGTTGTTGTACAGTGCTGTTAACTTTTGAAAGCGGTTGATAACACAAATTGTGTACTATTTTAAGGCTTTCCGAGATACTATCAACAAACTGATAGAATGTTTTCAGTAGATAGTTCTAAAGTTTTGCAGTTTTGGTCCATTGCAGTTCGTGTAGCCATACATGGGATGCATTCCAACTTGCCCATGCTTCTTTTAGACTCTACTGTTTACGGAACGACAATAGTGTCTCTTCTAATAGTCAGAACAAAATGTTAAGCTGGGACTCATCTGCGGGAGCCTCCCAAGATTGACGTTTTTCAACCAGAGGTAGATATGCAAGACGAGAAAGCTCTCCTGAAGATCTTCCTGCCATAAAGATATGATGATGATGTGACTATGCGGTTTCTTGTTTGTGGATCGCAATGTATCTTGGTAGGTTTGTGTTTTAGTTCTGTTCTTGAATCAATAAAATAGGTTTAAGGGTCCTTGAAGCTCTTGAACTTTTGAAAAAAAATCTATTAAGCCACTGAACTTGTTTTGCACCCAGTTGAACCTCCGAACCGAGAAATTGAATCAATTAAGCCCTTAGACCAATTTTGGCCATTAAGTCTTAACGGTTTTTTCGGAGATATTACTATCACGTGGAACATTGTGATGCGACATGTGGCACCAACTGATCCAAACAAACTGCTAGATATAACGGTCAATATTGGTCAAAGGGGTGAATTGATGAAATTTTGCAGTTCAGGGACTTAATTGGGTACAAAAAAAGTAGGGCTTTAATTGGTTTTTTTAGAAGTTTGAGGGCTTCTGGCACTCTTAAGCCCAATAAAATACTTTATTCGCCCTGGCTTATTTTGGTTGTAACTGTATGCCCTGCAGGATGCATTCCTTTTGGGATCTTTGGAGGATGGACTTAATGCCTCTTAAGCATAGAAGTAAGTTCATACGATTGCTTTCGTATTGAACCATATATTCCCATGATTATACATCTGTAGTGTGTTGTTGTGTGCTCGTGTGGGATGTAATCAGTTCTAATCTTTGATTCTATTTATCCTCTTATTAACTCCATTCAATTGTCATTTGTTTCAGATACGAGGGAGCAAGCTCCACAACCGAGCAAGGTATCAATAATTTTGGATTACTTATAGTTTCTTTGGGATGTGGGTTCTTGGCTGCATTCTGTTTCGAGGGTTTTGAGTTAAATGTTTGAGACTTTGATATTTTTGTTTATGGAGCTTCCATTCCCCATACGATTGCTTCCTCCAAGTTGCTTGTGCATTATAATCGACATACTTATGGGTTCCATTCTTATAGTGCTTCACCACCACCTCTTCAGGCCGGGACATTTTCTCGTGGTGTAGTGACCATGCGATGCTACTTTTCAACCTGCAGTTCGACTCACATATCATTTCTAGTGTCTGGTAGTGCACAAACTTGTTTTAATGATCAGGCAAGTAATTGTGGTCGGGTTAATTGCTAGTTTTGTTACTTTAAGTTCAAGCCTTGATTTTTTTTCCCTTTTTCTTCTTCTTTTGTCTCAGCTTTTGGAAAATCATATAAAAAATGAGCTTATCGAGAAGAGTCAGCTAGTCTGTCCACATTCAAGTTCTGAGGAGAGCAAATCGGAGCCTGTAGATCAGCCTCGATTGCCTGTGGAGCAAGTGTGTTCGAAGTGAGCATGAAGGTTCCCACATGGGCTTTGCAGGTTGATTATCTTTAACTATTTTACTCTTTCTCTAGAGCTTTTCTATTTCTTTAACAAGTTCGCTCGACTTTTCTTGATTTATTTTAAATCCCAACGAGTTTCTCGGAATGACTTTGACAGATACTAAGGCAACTTGCACGAGATGTGTCATACCGCAGCTTAGTTATGCTGGGGATTGCTAGCATTCAGGGTTTGTCGGTTGCATCTTTTGAAAAAGATGATGCTGAGCGTATTCTTTTCTTTTGCAAAAACCCGGGAAAGGATCCCTCCTTGGATAGTTCTCTAATTGCCAGAACTCCGAGCTGGTTGGTGCCGCCGCCACCTTGTCGAAAAAGATCAGAGCCATGTAAAGACAATAAACCTCTAAAGTGTGCAGTCATGGAAGGTGTAATGGTATTGCAATATCAGAAACTAGTGTTGCTGCTATGAGGCCAATTCCTCACACCCATCATCATAAGATGCTTCCCTTTTCTGGATTTTCCGAGACTGAGAAATATGATGGTGAACAAGGTAAGGTTAACTTGCCCATAGTTCCCGTGAAGCAACCAGCTGTTACACATCGGAAAGCATTGTCGAGTTCTTATATGGCTCAACAAATTATGTCTTTAAATCCATTACCTCTTAAGAAACATGGTTGTGGTAGAACCCCGATACAAGTTTGCTCGGAGGTTAGTCATCTTCTCCGAGTTTCAAGTTAAGAATTTACAAATATAGTGTCAGCGTGTATTATGTTTTCTAGCCGATGCAGAAGATTAGGAAAATTATGAACCTCTTGGCATTATACTTTAAAACTTATCCTTCATATTATTTGAATACTTTTTTCTGGCAGGAAGAATTTTTGAGAGATGTAATGCGGTTTCTGATTCTTCGAGGACATACTCGGCTGGTTCCTCAAGGTGGGTTAGCTGAGTTTCCCGATGCCGTTCTTAATGCGAAGCGTCTTGACCTTTTAACTTGTATAGAGGTAAATTATTCTATGTGCGAAATACGATGGATCTGGCTATATATATTGACGGATTGAATTGAACATAACAGGTGGTGTCAAGAGGAGGCTTTCATGTCGGGAATGGCATAAATTGGAAGGGACAAGTTTTTCGAAGATGCGCAATCACACATTGACAAATAGAATGACTGTATGTTTCGAAGTTGTTCGCATTATTATTTTACGTTGTGATAGTAATGTTCTAATATCGGGATGATAACCATTGCTTTTTGCTATAATTTACGTAGGGAGTGGGCAACACTCTTAAAAGACATTACGAGACTTACCTTTTAGAGTACGAATTGGCTCACGACGATGTGGATGGAGAATGCTGCTTGTTATGCCACAGGTCTCTCCTGCACACGTTCTTAATGAGCTTGTGCATATATGGATTTGTATGCAATACTGACCAGAGATTTTGTGTGAAAACAGTAGTGCAGCAGGCGACTGGGGTAAACTGTGGAGTTTGTGGTGAATGGGCTCACTTCGGCTGTGACCGGCGGCAGGGGCTCGGGGCTTTTAAGGTATATATACCTTCTAAAATTTTCCTATCAATATAGGATTATGCAACTGACAACGGTTTAACTTGATGTTTCATCTCATGAACGACAGGATTATGCGAAAACAGACGGGCTGGAGTATGTTTGTCCGCACTGCAGCATCTCAGATTTAAGAAGAAACCGAAACCGATGAATGGTTATTGACATACTTTGACATTCGCTTTAGATTCCCGTTAAGTACGTAGCCTTTTCCGATTTCATTTTTGTTCCTCACCGCAATGCATGTTGAACCCTAAACCCTAAACCTTGACGTCATTATGAAATGTATTGTATCGTATGCCACCATTGTTGTTCTCATATATAGCTCAAGCCATTAACGAGTCCCGATCCACCTAATTTCCCTTTGTATTCTGCTAAACAGAGATGACAACTGTAGATTTAAGGAGTTAGCGTTTTGTTCAAATCACTTCGTTTCTTCATTGGAATGTTTTAACTTTCTTCTTGTTTTTGGGGTGTTCTTTCCATATCAAGGTATCTATGACCTTGATTGAGATGATACTGATTCGGATGATTTAGTTAGAATGTTTTGAAAACTTGGGGACTAATTTCGCAAGATAATGTACTAATTTGAATACTCTATTAGAATATTTTGAGAATCTAAACCATAGATTGAGGATGTTCGATACGATTAACTCAAAAAAAATAACAATAATGGGAAGATAATGTACTAAATATATAAAATCTGCAGTACATGTACACATTGGCATGGGATTTCAGTCATTTGGCTGTGCATTGCGTTGATTTCTTCTTGTTTGAAGCTTCCACTGCAACCATTTAGCTTTTCGATCGAAGAATTGGCATCACAGGTTGTTAATTGATGAATCCCAGTGCCACTGCTGCTGCTCTGCTCCTGCTGCAGGGTTGTTGTGAACGATATCATCGATGCTTAAAATACCGTCGGCAAAACGGGTTCTTCCCGTTTCATATGGCAGCGGCCAGAGCGACCGGCATAAGGCAGAGACCTTCACTTTTCAGATATTGCATGGCCGTTGCCACGTTGGATTCCATGAGTTTCACCACTTCTTGCTCGAAAACGACTTGTTCGGGAGATGGCGAATAATCGATCCTTTGCCCACCAAGGGTGTTGTTAAACCATTAGATCCCTGGTGAATAAGGTTTAGGGTTTACACCTGGGAATTTTGATGTTTAATGTTTAGGGTTCAGGGAAGCGAGAAATCGGTACCTCAGCTTGGCTATCAATGATGAGAGGAACAACTGCACCTGCTGCCCCCAGCCTGCTCATGCTTAGTACCTGCAAATAATTTGCAGAAGCACAGCCATTGGTTTCGATTAGTTCTTGAAGTCTGGCTCGGATTTGCAATATTGACAAAAGCTTCGTCTTACCTTCACTTGGAGCTGAAGGAACTTGACATACTCTATGATTTCATCGAGCATAGAGGCCTTGTCGGTCTGCAAAGCTCGCCAAGATCAGACACATACTCGTATCCGACATGTACTCAAAAGCAAAATCAGTGTGCTCCTATTAGGCCTGTTAATGACCATATAGCAAAATACATACAGAAGAGCTACCTTATTGAAATTAGGTACAAGCTCATGCAGATTCTTCATCCTTTCGACAATCTTCTCTCTTCGGAGCTGCAATCGACCAAACAACTTAGAAGACGAGAGTATGAACTTATAAAAGGAGAAATATTATAGCCGAGCGACTGACACTCTCTGCAATGCTGTGAGGATTGGTAGCCTGACCTCGACGTTCTCTAACTCGAGGCTTCCCGATTCCATTGCAACTATTGTTTGGGTAGGTGATGAACTCTATATTAAAAGTTCAAAGCTAGTAAGCCTAGAAAAAGAAGATGAGAAATAGGGCCATAATTCAAGTACCTGCAGCAGAGATGGTAAGCCTATCATAGTACTCGTTACCGGCTGGTCGGCCGGACAAGACGAGTAAGAGAGAATTTCAGCATCGTATTTTCCCTGATACATTATGAGCAACAAAAACTTTAACTCCAAACTAAAACAATGACGGCTCGGCTTTTGCCACCATACCTTTGCATGATCGATGCCGATAAGTTCTCTGGTTGCAGAATCTTATCAATCTCCACAAATCTGTTAATATTGCCATAATTACCATCATCAACTATGTTTCCGTTATCATGTTGAAGACGTGAGCTTTGCATTCTGGTTTGTCCCATAGAAGTCGGAAGGGAAGAAAGTACCGTCATACGGTTGCGGATGCCACGACTGTGGAACTGGAGAAAGGATTTCTAAGCCTGTAAGTGATCTCAAAACTCGGAAGACTCACCTCCATTGCACGCAGCATTCCCGATCGAGATGGAGTATATCACCAACAACTTGATGGCTCACTGAGCCAGTGGAATGAACATCCACAGTAAACTGCAGACCCAGATTTCCAAATCCCAAGCTTCCATCTACCTTCTGCGTCGTCGATGCGATTTTCACCGTCCATTCTTGCCCCGGACGACAACAAACCATGTTCAAATCTAAAGTACTATGCGTAGCCAAGCACTCCATGCCATGATTTGAAACCGATTAAGCTTACCGTACGTTACTTTTATCATCTTGGTACACTACTTGTGAAACTAGCCAGCGGTGCATTCGGCTGATCTGTTCACCATGGACCCAAGATGACCTTTCCTTGACATTAAAATTAACATCAACATCGGTCCATGATGAGGAAGAGAAATACTGATCAAGATAGTCATCCATTGTCTATATACAAAGCTCACAGTATCCTGCACTATAAATACATACAACACACACACACACAAACACAAATCATAAGCATTCAACATGAAACAAATCAATTAGTGGGGAAGGGATATAAGTAAACATGACACATACATGCATACATGACACATACATACATATACAGTAACATGAAAGATCAAAGTAAAAACAGTACTAAAAGAATGTGCTTTAACAGTCCCTTATACCCTTTTTTTTTTTATTTAATCCTTTTACAGCAATTCCACAAAAACAAACACTCAAAATCTAACCCATTTTTCAAAACACCCATAGAGCATCGAACATGAAAACTGGGTTCCAACAAGAACCCCAACCTTAAACCAGAAAGAACACTTGATCAAATGCTAAGTTCTTATACTCAAAAAAAAAGAATAAATGATAAAAAGAACACTCACAAAGAAAGTGAGTGAATGAGCGAGTTGAGTGTAGAAACAGAAGAGAAGACTATTTTCTTTTTCATTCCTTTTTCGGCATCCAAAAAGAAAGTGTCGCAGCTGTACTACAGTAGTGAATGAAAGATGTTTAGCTTTTGACGTAGAAAAAACCGCTCTGTAGCGTCTCTTTCTTCTTATAGGTAGATTACATGATTAATATCTAAATTATTTATTTTTATTTATTTTAATATTTAATTTTTTTTAAAATCATATATAATATTTAGTATTTATTTTGTTTTAGTATCTCGTCGTTAAAAATTTAACAGGTGATTTGCACGTGACACCTTTTTATGGGTAAATTGTATTATTCATCACTCAACTATTTTCTCACTCCTATTTTGGTCACAAATGTTAATTTTTAATTTAATTACTTAGTTTTCAGATTACTCATAATTCAATCACTCTAATTTTCACATTTATTTATTTTTAATTATATATTAATAAGATAATAAAAAATATTATATCACAAAAATAATTAATAAAACAAAATAGAGTGACTAATAGGAGCAATTTGAAAGTTGAGTAGTTAAATAGAAACTTTTTAAATTTAGTACCAAAATATGAGTGAAAAGATAGTTGAGTGATGAATGATGTAATTTACCTAGAGAAAAGTACGGTGTTGTTAAGTTTTGAATGGGTGGATACAAAATGAAACAAAAACTAAACGTTAGATATGTTTTGCAAAAACTAAAAGTTTAGGTACTAAAACGGATCAAAATTGATAGTTTATGTACTAAATGCGTAGTTTACCCTTATTTTAAAACTTTTGGTTAAATTTTGTTATTAGTCCCTACACTTAAGTAAAGTTTGAAAATTGGTCCCTATATTTGATTTAAATCATATTCTAATCATTAAAATTTGTTAATATTTCTCATCAAAATTTATTACCTTAATAAGAGTTTTGAATCATGACATTATGAATAGAAAAATTTAGATTGAAATGGTCATCTTATTATGAATTTTTACAGTATTCGATTCAGATTAATTATTAACGAGTCGAATATGGTAGTTATACCAAAAAAATATCACCTTAACATGTAAATGTAATTCCCTTAAATGGATGACATGATTAATAGGAAATACATGTCAATTTGACAAATTTTAATAAGAAAAATACTAAGATAATTATTTGTATGTAAATTTTTATTTGTATTTTATTTCTAAATATAATTTAGTATACTTCCAATACTAATAATGGGACAATGATTTCTGAACCCAAAAGTAAATAATAATATATTTTTTTTTCACTTTTTATTAGACTAAATCTCTATTTTTATTAAAGTAGAGGGACTAGAAGCATATTTTTACCATGATTTTTCCATAAAGTATCTTACACTTTGTATGTTTTGGCAAAATGAATAAGATAATGTAAATGAGATTTTTTAATTCCCAATATAGTCCATCCTAGATATATTTTTCATTTAGGGTGAATTGAATAATACTAACCTAAAGACGCAAGTGCTCCACGTTTCAAGTTAAATATGAAGACTTCACGACTGCATGGCGTCTTCAGGCAAATGAAGAAGATCCCACGACTGTATGACATCTTTAGATAAATGGAGAAGACTTTTAGACTCTAAAAGTACACGACTTTCTTCAAACCAATAAAAATCATAATTTAAAAAATAATATAGTATACATATAAGAAAATTATTTTTCCGACAACCTATACGGAATATTTTTAGGTTTCCCGATTGCATTGATTGAAATACATATATTTCAATTTAGCCTGCTTATTCGTTTTGGTAAATAATCATTCGACTGTAGAATGTTGCTTTGTTAAGTCCCTAGACTATTAAAAATTACAAAATGATCACCTAACTATTCGCTATGTTCCAAACTCGTCATTTTCTGTTAAGAAATTAACGACAATATGAGTTGGATGTTAATCTATTGTTTGAGATACAATTGTCGTTTGAGATTTTGGGGTCATATTTTATCATATCTTAAAATAGATTAACATCCAACTCATTCCACCGTTAATGGATGAATTTGGAATATAATGAATAGTTGAGTGACCATTTTGTAACTTTTAATAGTCGAAGGACTCAACGAAGCAACAACCTATAGTCAAATGACCATTTTATAACTTTTGATAGTGGGGGACTCGAAAAAATAACACCATATAATCGGGAGACCATTTGTATAGTTTACCCATATGTAATTGACCATCCTTGTGAGTCATGTGTAATTGTAAATGTAAAATACATAGAATTGACATATAAACATTGTTCACTTCAAATTTTGTAATCATATTTTAACATTTTGTGTTCAAGACAGCCTATTCATGATTAATGTACATGTATTCTTGCTCTTACTTTCAATTTTTGGGTTATTTGCGACCTTCAATTAAAATATGGGTTGAGTTTTGTTGATGGAAAATTTGACTTAAGCACGGGATTTGTAGGACGAGGCATTAGATCTCTTTAAGTAAAGTTAGGGGTTTGAATCTTAGTGCTTGCAAATAGAGCAAATTAGATTGGGTGAACCGTCCTTGCCTATACAGTACTCGATCCAGATTAGTCGATTAATAAATTGGATATCGATGGTTATACCAAATATATATATTATGTGGACATGATTTCTAATAGAATATTTGATTAAATAATGTCATATTCGTATTATGTCAATAAATGTCGCTTTGGCCGAGTGGTTTAGGCGTGTGTCTGCTAAGTACATGGGGTTTCCCCGCGATAGTTCGAATATCTTAGGCGACGTTAAGTGTACCGTTTTGCCTAATCAAAACTAAAAGGGAAAATTATGCTCCAAGTCCCTAACTCTTTGTACCTTTGATGTTGCTCCTTATAATTTGGTTTCTCCATATCAAGTCAACAATTGTCGCTTTGGCCGAGTGGTTAAGGCGTGTGCCTGCTAAGTACATGGGGTTTCCCCGCGAGAGTTCGAATCTCTCAGGCGACGTGAACTTTACCGTTTTGCCTAATCAAAACTAAAAGGGAAAATTATGCTCCAATTCCCTAACTCTTTGTACTTTGATGTTTGGTCCTTATAATTTTGGTTTTCTCCATATCAAGTCAACAATTGTCGCTCCGGCCGAGTGGTTAAGGCGTGTGCCTGCTAAGTACAAGGGGTTTCCCCGCGAGAGTTTGAATCTCTCAGGCGACGTGTTAGTTTTTGTTCTTAATGAAAGGGAAAATATGCTCCTAGTCCCTCATTCTTTGTACCTTTGAAGTTTAGTCCTCAAACCTTTTTGTCTATGTTATGTCAACAAGAGTCGTTTTGGATAGGGGTGACTTAAATTGGGTGGAGTGAACAAAATTTAGATAATAACGTTTACGATATTATTTTATTATTTAACTTTATTTACTTTTTAAAATCAAGTTAAATCGAATATATTTGTTCGAGTTCTATTCAAATTTAAATGCAATATTTATAATATTATGATACTAA